TTGGCGGGTGAGACTTTATCATCACATGGTGACGAATGAGTCGGGAACAGGGCTGTTTTCAGGCAGGGACGAGGCGTGTCAGCTGCAGGAAGTCAGTAACAGCGCCCCCCCCCCCAGAGGAACACCTCACACATCAACCAAGGACACATCCTCCACACTGACAGATCCCTGTAGGGGGGAGATACAGCCGTATAACAGTGCTGATAAAGCTCTGAGCATAATACTCTTATCAAAATCCGCTCTCTCAACCACTCTCACGTACTTTATCATATTTTATCTTTAACTGATATAGAGATCCTGAATCAGAGTGCACAGACCTTTATAAATCCCATTATTTCATCATCTAGAGAAGCTGTTTCCATTCCTCTCCCAGAAGAACCCCAGACTGATTGATTGCTTGCTTGCATGACTGATTGATTGATTGATTCTTACCACTCAGATTATCTGGAAGTGGAACAGAATAAATTTAAGGATTATCTCTGGATGCTAAAAGAGGGATTTTTAAGAAACAAAGATCTAGGGAAGACTCTGCCTTGGAGCGAAACTGTGGAGGAACTCGGAGATAATGGTGATCTTCTCCATTAATGTATGTGTCACACGAAAGGAATGTTGACTGACAGAAAATCATGAGGGGGTTGGGGTGTGTGTTTATATTGTTGTAAATAATTATATACAATTCATGTAGAGTGCATAACATGTACTCTCCAAGTCATTGCATCACTCTTGGGTGGAATTTTACTCTGATGGGACTCCTATAAACACACGGATGGAGGCACAGACGAAAGGCATGTCCTGCAGTGTGAAGTTTCGCTAAGCATGCTGAGATCGACGGTGGGAATTTATGTCGGCAGCGAACCAAGAGGATCTGGGATGGTGTTATAGAGCAGCGGCCTTACCGAAGGTTTCACACACGACCTGCAAACGTGTTTTATGAAGACGTCAGGTCCGTCACTGATAAATGCAGAGGGTAGCACTTCGAGGTTCTAAGCAGAAGTCACCCGCTACGGAGGAAGAAGATACTGCAGACAAAGACAGGGGGTCACACACTCAGCAGACAGGGTTCAGCAGAGGACACTGGCCTTCCACGTCATTTTATAGAGTCTCTGTATATACATTCTGTATATAAATTTGTTTTCCAACATTGGTACTTCTCTCCCCCTGGGAGTATTACTACACTGTGACAGGTCTGGATTGCGTTTCTGTGATATTAATGTTTTGGTTGTGACTCTAAAGTTCAGCACATCACTCTACCATCTCTGGTTCTTGTTAGGGGTGTAAAACTCCAGCACGCAACAGACAGATCCTTCCTCTCTCCCCTTCAGGCTTCTACCAACCCTTTAGTACGTAATGTCCCACATCAGTGTCACAAAAACCCAGAGAAAACTCCCACGGCTTCCAACTGAGTGACGGGAGAGCTACTTAATACGGGGGTGCGCTTTCATTTCCTCTTTATACCACCCCCCCGCCCCGAGCCATCCAGGTTTACCATGGGAACTCAACTGACTTGTCTCAGCCTTCTGTTACTAATCATTGAGTATTAGATTTAATTCATTCTCCCCGCTGCAATCTCACATTTGAAGAGCAGCAGTAGGCGGTAAATATTTTTCCTTTGGCTGGTCCTGCTGTTTTCATGATCCTGGGTGAATCTCAATATGCATACTTGACCGTTCTTGTGTTCCATTGCCAAAGTCCAGGTCCAATACTAAGGACACAAGTGCAGAAGACAGTAAAAATCTCCGGATGTTGGTCTTTTTCCACCTCAGATATCAAGGATACCTCAGTTGCATCCCCGCCATATGAGACCAATCCCATGATTCATTGCTCCCCAAGTTTGGTTTTGGAAGGCAAGTCAGCAAGACCAGTCTTGCCAAGACCACAAGTATGGTCTCTGCGTTCTTGGTATTGAGATTCACCCCCTGTCTCTAGCGCTGATTCCTAACGTTGAGATCCATTTGCTTCTTTTACCATTGGGTCTGACTTCCCGACTCTGGAGAAGATCTGGAGAGCTTTAGGAGTAAGATGCAGCAGATATGGACTGAGATTTGTAAAACAGGAATATGTGTCTTAGCAGTGTAGTTAGTATAAACATGACTTGAGGTCTGTGCTGATGGCCCCTTTAGTTATAGAGTAAATTGCTCCTATTGTTAATGATTTAACAAATGAATGGATATTGCCCCTCGGTTTGCATTTCTATCCTGCACACATACGTTGTACATATCACACCCATTTACAGAGGGGGCTATTTACTGGAGCAGTTCAGGTCAGGTTCGTGTGCTCCTCAGGAGATGAGCTGACGTTATTGTGAAGGTTCATAGTTATTGTCGCCACATTGCCTGCTGTATCTGTCTGTGCTTCCTGTGGACACATGCAGCTTAATCCTATTGCCTTTGAAGCAGGAAGAACATTAAGCCTGCGAGATTAACAGGGTTTCTTGTGTGATGTTAGTGGGTGACCGGAGGTGGGGGGGGTAATGAGCTACATTTCCATGGGGGGGCGCCTCTTTCTGGTCCTTTCCGCTGATTCTCCTCAGTGCCTGCTGAGTAATGTCTGCTCTTCTGGGAGGTGGCTTATCATTGTACATAAAGGTGCCGTTTTGGTGCTAAACCCTGGGAATCTTTCGTTGGGGGAGGAATTTGTCTCACACAGTGTAGCAAGTGTTGGCGTGATGGGGGGGGGGGGGGGGGGGGGGGGGGGGGTGAGGGGGTGGAACAGGAGATCGTCTGGAGCTCACAGTCTTGAGGGCTTTTGAGAAAACTTACAAAACGATGTCTGGTGGATGGTGAGATATAAGAATACCCCCATTTTAGGGCCCGCCTGTCCTTCCTGGAGCTGACAGTAACATGTGAGCGAGGTGTGTATGTCCAAGTCAGGGCATCCCCTCAAATTAATCACAAACTAAGCAAATATCTAGCGAGTAGAGGCAGGAGGTCCTAGCTAGCTAGCTGGTTAGCAGAACATGCGCTTCAGCGCCTCCTAAATATGGAACACGCTTCATATTTAGTGTAATGACTGTTCGTGACCAACAGGGGGCTCCCAAATCACAGGAGCCCCATTAAAATGCCTGATTTGAGTGCTGGTAAATACTAGCGATGAGCAAAGCAAGGTGAAGTATGCAGCTACTCGCCTGGCCTGTGTCTTTCTCCAGTTCGTTAACGTCTGTATTCCTGCCCCCGATGCTAAGTGCCCCCCCCCCCCATACACCCACCATGACACTTGCCCCTTACTGTGTCCTTGTGTGCTTTCGTCACGCTGCCTGTGTTTATGATTCTCCCAGTCACTTCTGTCGATCTCGTCCCCCCCCCCTTTCACCGACGTCCCCTCCTCCCTCTCACTCCCATGGATATGATCTCATCCCCCCCCCCAGCGGCGTAGGAGTAGGATCCATGCTGGTGGAGCTGTCCTGTTCATTCTGAAGTAAACAGGTCTCAGTGATCCAGTTCCCCTGAGAAATCCCTACATGCTAACGAATAGACATATATATTCCTCCTTGATACGCAAGGAATTGTGGGTAAAAATAAATCTGTATGTACCCAGCTTCCATGGTCGCTGTTTGACAAATGTATGCTGACTTTTGCCAGTTGCTTCTAATCTCAGATTTCTGAAATTGCACCCATTAAAATACACAATCCATATGGATGATTGTTGATCTGAACCACAAAACTAATAACAATAATACTATAGTTGCATATTTTAAGAAATATCCTAGTCATTTACGCGTATTTATTTAGAAGGCCCTTATGTCCAAAGCAAAGTACAACTGAAGCAGATTATCCATCAAATAGTACATTGATAAAACACCTCTGGTCATATCCGTATAAAATGACTCTCTGATCATTTCAGTGTAGAAACTATATTCGGTTTCACTTTTGGAACTTTCCTCTGGATATTTCAGTGTAGAAACTATGTTTCAGTTTTAAAACTTTTCTCTGCTTATTTCAGTGTAAAAACTATACTCAGTCCATTTCAGTTTTAAATGTATACCAGTTTAGCTAACTGTCTTTGGACTGTGGGAGGACACTGGAGTATCCAGTTTTCTGAGTAAATTTGATTCCCAGTTTTAAATACCTGACACACTATACATTCATTAACATCCAGTGAAGATCAAGATGTTGACATAATAATGTTTGGTTTTAATACTCATTACTCATTTAATCTGATACTCATACTCATTGAGGTTGATACTCATTATTACAGTATTTGATATGTTTGCTTTGTATTGGAATCCTGTCCATGGTGAACCCCAGCCTTGTGCTGCCTGAGATAGGTCACCCTGACCAGGATAAGTCATTAGAAAATGGATGGATGGATGGATGGATGGTTTACACCTGGTCTCACAAATAAACAGGCATCGATGATACAGGCCACGGCCTGACAGACATCGTTTAAATACAGGCCAGAAAAGGTTAGAAAGGCTTCATATTTAACGAGGCCAGAGGGCGGACCGTCCACATGCGTCAGGTCGATGTATTTGTTGTCCTGAATGTCATCATGTCTTTTCTTAGGTAGACGCTTGTTGGCCATCTGGGTGTGTCTACATTCTGCTTAAATGCTGGGCTGTACCTGCGTTCTCGGATCCTCCGACTTTACATTATGAGTGTGATGTGCACTAAGCCACTGCCCAATGCTCACTGCCCCCACTGCTCCCACTGCCCCCACTTCTCTCACTGCTCCCACTGTCCCCACTGCCCCCACTGTCCCCAATGCTCTCACTGCTCCCACTGTCCCCAATGCTCTCACTGCCCCCACTTCTCTCACTGCTCCCACTGTCCCCAGTGCTCTCACTGCCCCCCCACTGCTCCCACTGCTCTCACTGCTCCCACTGCGTCACTGCAGCTTTTTACATCAGGCTTCACCCTTACATACTTATTCAGCATAGTTTTTGCTACTCTTGGCTTTATTGTGAGACGTTATGCGGGGACATACACGGTTATGTGTGTTGCATGTATAGTAATTGTGCTTTGGTTTACTCATAGCAAGTCGCTCTTTCCGCTGTGTCCCAGGGGGCAGCAGTGAGGGGGGGGAGGAGCCCGAATGGCAGATGCTTGGGGGCCAGCCTGCGTGGGACGGTTGCTCTAGGAGCCTACTGGAGGGGCAGCACTTCACCTGGAGAAACTGACAGGTAGGCAAGAGCCGGGGTCTGAAATTTTACGATGTATAAAACAAACAAACAAAAATACATGTCTCACAGTGTCAGTGGCTCTCCCTGCATTCCCAACAGTATCAATTTAACCACTCTCACTGCATCAGTGGCACTCTCTTCTGACCCACAGTACAGACTGCAGGGGGCGCTGTTATGATGTATAAACCTAACCACTCACACAGTGTCAGTGACTCTCCTTGCAGCCACAACAAAGACTGCAGGGGGCGCTGTTATGATGTATAAACCTAACCACTCGCACAGTGTCACTGGCTCTCCCTGTGCCCACAGCACAGACTGCATAACCCTGAAGCAATGCTATGGCTCTAGCTTGTTTTCTACTGGTAGCCAAATTATGAATCCCAGCAATGAGCCGATATTCCATTTTCAAGTCATGTCTTTTCACGGTACATCCAGCCGCAACAGCGATTGACTGATTCCTAATAAAACCAATCGCTGTAATTGAAAAGATTGGAAAATACAACCTTGAAAGTAACTGAAGGGGCATTTTGTAATGAAATTAAGCTTTATTTCTGTAATGGGTTGGCGCCCCATCCTCGGTTACTCCCTGCCTTGTGCCTCTATCTTAGGCTCAGAATCCCCATGAACCTGCACAGGACAGACAGGTATGGAAAACGGGTGGATGGATGAAGCTGTATTCACGATTTGTACAAGTATAAGAACAGGTACATTTTATTAGCTGTCACATATCCCATCATGCTCTCCTTTTTAAAGACACACACACACACACACATATACAGGTGAGACTGAAGCTTGGGGTCTGACTGCAGGGTCAGCCGTCCATCCAGCCCCCCTGGGGCATTTTTCAGGGGGTTAAGGGCCCTGATCAGGGGCCCCGTGGAGGTGTGGCTAACTGTAACGCGCACAGGATCTGAGCACAGAGGCCTAACCTGCTTTGTCACACACCAACCCCCCCCCCCCACCTCTTCTCATGGAATCAATAAAATAACTGATGAAGAAAATCTACATGTGACATTAATTGTAAGATTTATGCGGGGGTTTTGTCATGCAAATAACATCCAAACATTGCGTGTTGAGAACTATAAAAGTAGACAAATGTCAGCGATACGTGACATGTGCACAGGAAAAAAGGCGGAGAGGCTATTGTGCGTGTCTGCCTGTCAGCGTGGGAACGACTAGCTGCGTGTCCCGACACACCGTGATCTTTCCGATTCCCTGCCCTGAGGGACGTGTCACATGGCAACGGGGCCAGCAGACTTCCTATTGGCTGTTCAGCTTTTTCCCATCAGCATAATTAGCCTGGTTTGTCTAGTGCCCTTTATGTACTTTTCATTTCTGATGAGAGAACGCAGCCCCCGCCCCCTTTAAATATACTTTCACCACTGAAAAAAAAACAACAAAAAACACAAAAATGTTCTTTGAACATGGGGTCTTGTTCAATTTCAATCAATTCATTCAACGAATTTCCACTTCTAAACAGAGGTACTTGATAAGCTTTGCAATGTGTGCCTGAAAAAATAACAGTAAATCACCATAGACGCCTCTCTGACAACTTTTAAAAATTTGTTACATAAAATTTGATTTATTTGATTTGACCTATTACTCCAAATACAAAATTAAAAACTTAAAAGTACATTATTATATTAGTATATTAAAGAGTGCCAAAAAAGCATATTAAAGAATGCCACTTAAGGAAACAGCCCAGAAAATATATCCATTAGCAATTAAATAGTCTGCCATTATGAAATGTACAGTTGATGACTCTCTGCCTAGATTAGCTAAATGTACAGTAACTGTGTAAAAAACTGGCACTAGAACACAGGTGATGTAACAGACATGCAAGCAATGTAGTCAACACCCATGGAAATGCATTTTGCCAGGAATTAATGGTTAAAATCTGGCATTACTGAAACCCAGCTGTGAAAGAATGCTGGATCTGCCTTGACTTTATTTCAGTTGTGCGTTTTTGTGGCGACTAACGTGGACATTATGACCTGATGAACTGTGTGAGTCAGCCTTGGCAATGTGAGGTTTGCCGCAGCCATCAAAGAGTGACAGACAACATGGGCCACATACTGTCCATCAGTGAAGGAATCACCAGGTAGCTTGTCGAGAGCTTACTCTGCCTTGCAAAAGTATTAAACCCCCCTTAAAATCGTCAAATTTGCATGAATTACAAATGATTCATCCACATGTTCTTGCTGTCATTATCTTTATTTCAAACCCATAGTCTGTCAGAGTCAAATTTCAAAGACAAAATCTTCTAAAGATACTCAAAATCTTTTAAAAAGCATCAGATTTCAATCCCTGCATGTTAGCATTTGGTAGGGTCACCTTTTGTCGAACAACGGCTCTAAGTATTTTTGAGTAAGTAGTTACCAGCTCAAGGAGTGATTTTAGCCCCTTTTACACTCCAGGAGTGATTCTAGCCCCTTTTACACTCCAGGAGTGATTCTAGCCCCTTTTACACTCCAGGAGTGATTCTGGCCCATTCTTCATTGGAGGCTTTTCTACAGGTTCTTGACATTGGTTGGATGTTGCTTCTTCACTGCAATTTCCAAAGAAAGCCACAGGTTCTCGATGGGATTTAGATCTGGACTTTGACTTGGCAACTTTAGATGCACAGCACTGTAATACCCTGTAAAGCATTGAGAATTATGAGGGGCTAGAAAAGTCTTGGATGTCAGCCAGAGGAGGATAATAAAAACTGACATTCCCCATGTTCTTCAAGTAGTTGTGGCAAAAGTCCCAGAATCCATACATCACGAAATGCCGGCTTCCACCTGAAGGGGGAGCCTTTTCGCTCGTGGCAGTTATATTTACACAAAAATGTTCTGAGGGCTGAAGGAAGAATGATTGGTTCAGAAAGATAACCAATCAGGTTGTAGAGGAGGTGGGTCTAGGATAGTACTTTAGAAGTCAGTAGAGGTCTTGTACCAACTTTTAATCTAGATTTGGACAGTTAAAAAATTTAAGTGTAGTATTATGAGACAAAGTTAAGGATATTTACAGAAGTTATGACTGGCTATTGGATATCTTGTCAGGACATGTGGTTAGCTATTGGCTATCATATCAGAATGCGTGGTTAATGATTGGTTGAACTGTGAAGACATCTGATTGGCTACCGATTCTCTTGGCAGGACGTGTGCCCATGAGGTCGTCAACGCTGGCCCTACTCTTCCTGATCAGCGTCCAGGCTGTAGCACACATAGGAGGGGACGCCCAGAGGACCACCGGGCAGGGCATGGCAGGGCCCCTCAGGACATCCGCCGGCCCCAGCGCCCCGATGGCCAGCCAGCAACAGCACCGGGACTCGCACCCCATTCCCGTAGTGGACCCCAAACTCTTCAACAAGCGACGCTACCGCTCGCCCCGGGTTCTGTTCAGTGCCGTGGCCCCAGGCCCCGAGGGAGAGGGACCAGGCCCCCGGGTGCGAAGGAAGGCCACTAAGCCGATGCACCGGGGCGAGTACTCTGTGTGCGACAGTGTCAACCGCTGGGTTATCAACAAGACGAGGGCCACGGACATGGCAGGCAACGAGGTGATGGTCCTCCCCAACTTCAACATCGACAACGTGGTCATCAAGCAGTACTTCTTCGAGACCACGTGTCTGACGGGTCCGTCTGGCACCACCGGCTGCCGCGGTATCGACGGGCGCCGCTGGAACTCGCATTGCTCGAACACGCACACCTTCGTGCGGGCGCTCACCTCCTTCCAGAACCAGGTGGCCTGGCGCTACATTCGCATCAACACCGCCTGCGTGTGTGTCCTCAGCCGCAGGTCCTGGAAGCAGTGAGGCCGAGGGGATGCTGCCGCGGCCCCACCCATTAAACCCCAACCCCCCCACAACCCTGCCCCAACCCCACCCACCCCAAACAGCCACAACAGCCTTAATGCCAACCAGCTGCCTTGCCCCGCCCACCCCAAACCCCTCCCACATGCCCCACCTACCCCTACCTCACTCTGTAAATTATTGGTGTTTTTAAGTTATGAGGACTGCATGTCATATTTATAGTTTATACAGTCAAATATATATATATATATATAATGTATATGTATAAATTTCCCAAAATGAAAACCAAGCTTTTGTTGTTGTGTTGTTTTTGACATTGTTATTTATTAAACACTTCAGTCCACGCCTAGAAATGGTTGTTGTGTCTCATTGAATGATAGATTGAGCCATGGCACGGTCAGTCTGAAGCTGGATACCAGGTGGACTCTACAGTCTTCATTACTGTGAAGGAGTCTTCATCACCCACAGCAGATACTAATTTATTTGTTCTGGTTAATGAACGTGGTATGTGTGAGGAATGGATTTACGGCCAAATATATTTAAAAAGTCACTGTCAAAATGGCAATAACTGCCATCCATCTTCAGAAACCACTTCTCCCGTTCAGAGTCAAGGAGAGTCTGGAGCCCATGGGCGCCAGGCAGGGATCAACCCAGGATGGGACACCAACCCATTACAGGGCACACTCACACACACCTATGGGCAACTTGGTAACTCCAATCAGCCTCACCTGTGGGGGGGAAACCGGAGTACCCGGAGGAAACCCCACGATGACACGGGGAGAACATGCAAACTCCACAAACGTGGAATCCCAGCAGGGACTCAAACCCAGGCCCCTGAGGTATGAGGTAACAGCTCCACCATGCCACCCCTAAAAACAACTTACTGACAAAATAATAATAATAATAATAATAATAATAATGACTGAGGTAATGTTTATGGGGGCCAAAATCCTGACCTGCATTTTGTTTCCCATTAGCTGGACAAATGACTTGAAGATCCTGTAGTGGATGTGATGTGGAGATGTTTACTGCACGGGTTCACCCGGGAGGAAGCCCAGGGGCCTCTAAATGTGTAACTCAGGTGAACCACTGCCCCCTCTGTTGGCAACCTTTACGGTTGCTACCTCAAGTGTTAATATGCTTCTGATTCAATATGACTCCCCCCTTTCTTCCATGAAGCTGAGACCCTACAGAGAAACCCAACAAATTACACTTTATATTTTAAATGAAAAAATAATCAGCTTCTCATTGTGAATGCTGGATGGAAAAAGTAAGAGACACTTAACAATTATTGTGTTTTATATATAGGCTGAGAGAAAATATAAACACAGGACAACAGATGTGTTTAACAACTACAGATGAAATGTATATACAACAGCTATAAAAATGGTATATAGCTGGTGAGAGGAAGGCGGGGCTGGGGGGGGGGGATGCGCATGGAAGTGATACAGACGAGGAAAAGTCATCTGAAATGTTAGCAAAACAAAACCAAAAAGAAAACTTAAATAAAACAACACATTTATTCATTACCTCCCATTACTGTTCAATTAAGTTAAGGGGTAACGTCTCTTCAAAAAGTTCATTTGGTAATGCTTTACATTAACTGCATGTTCATAATGCCTTTATAATGCATCTATAGTACATTCAGTGCACCTTCATAATGCATTCATAGAACATTCATAAGCATTTTAAGGTTAATATATAAGGTTAATAAGGTTAATAGTTCCATGCTGCTTATGAATGTTCTATGAATGCATTATGAATGTTCTATGAATGCATTATGAATGTATGATAAATGCATTATGAATGTATGATAAATGCATTATGAATGTATGATAAATGCATCATGAAGGTACAGGTAATGTAAAGCATTGCCGTTCATCTTATAGCGATTCCACACCCCAGGGTATCCTGGGGGCTGTGACCGATTGCTTTCCCATGTCTCCATGTAAATAGTGGACCCGCTTACATGCTGGTTTATATACAAGTCACTGCTCTCGTCCATGAGTATAACCGGCCTTGATAAGAGGAGAGAGCCTTGCCACAGGGTCTGTTTAAAATACACATTTTTTCATCTTAAGATGGATGTGTAATATACTGTACGCTGCAAGCTGAGTTTAACTCGTTTGAACTCCATAAATTTATTCACCCATATTTGGTAAGTATGTTGGTACTGATGAAAGCACGACTGTATTTTGGTTCCTATATATTTATATCAATACGTAAAAAAAAAATATTATGCAATAATTATGCTAAATAGTTTATGGGGTTGCTCAGTGGTTTGTATGTGCACTCCAATGGTTATGTATTTGAATCCCAGCCCTGAATGTACTAATCCTAGTGGGAAATTCTGTTTTTTCCACCCCATCTTACTCTGCATGAAAGTGAGAGCAAGTTTGGACATCACAGTGTAGGATCAGCTAGCCAGCACCCCTGCAGCTGTGGATTAGGGACCTTGCTCAAGGGGCCACAGACATGTGGCAACTCTGCTGAGGCTGGGACGTGAACTGACAACCATCTGGTCATAGGAAGAGATGTTTAACCTGCTGAGCCATACACCACTCCCATCATACTCTTCGCATATTCAGTTTCCCTTATCGAACCCAAAAACATGCAATTTTTCTACACTGTCCATATTGTCTATATGTATCTCTGTACCCTGTAATGGACTGATATCACTCCCAGGGGCCCCTCACCATGTGCCCTGTGTCGGACTGATATCACTCCAAGGGGCCCCTCACCATGTGCCCTGTGTCGGACTGATATCACTCCAAGGGGCCCCTCACCATGTGCCCTGTGTCGGACTGATATCACTCCCA